TCTAATCTACTGGTGGTTGACCAGTTTTGTCAGCTGACCCAGATGCTGTCCTTCACAGCATTTTCCCCATGCAGTTCAGGAACCGGCCTGGCATTACCTGTATTGCCTTTAATTGTTGCATCTCCTTGAATCTGCATTTCCATATTTATGATATTGACAGTTTGGAAGAACAGCTCTCCCCCTTTAAAAAAAAAAAAAAGTTCTTCACTTGAATTTGCCTGATGTTTCCTTATGATGATTACATTCAGGTTATACGTTCTCCACCAGACTGTGTGAGGTCAGGTGCATCCTTCTTTTTAAGGGCCAGTTGAGAGAAGTGTGTGAAACATGGGATGGTGTCTTTTAAGTTATTTTTCTGTTGTCAGTGGTTCTCTGTGAACATGACTCCTTCCTGGCTTCCTCGGGTTTTTCCTGGGCTAGCCCCTGTCATCATTTGAACAACCTCTCTCCTGCCCCAGCCCCTAGCCCCCGTCTCCTCCTAAAATGCCAGCCTCATCATTTCTAGGAGCAAAGTGCTTCTTTCCAAAATATGGGTGGTTTGTGTGAGCCGAGCCAGGTGGCTGTGTGAGCGTGGGTTTTGGAAATCTCCCTGGGAAGGCAAGTTAACCTTCCCCTCTGGATCTCTCCACAGATTCCAAATTTCCAAATTCAACCAGGCTTTGGTTTCTGACCCTGAGCAGTGACGACTCTTGGCCACCTTGTGGGGAGGAAGCCACAGCTGGGGTGGAGTCGGGGGACGGAGGTGACAGGAAATGGAACACCAGCTCTGCCTTAAAAACAATCTCTTTGGCTATTTTGTAATATCTGACACGTGTAAAAGAACAGATATGTAAATATTGAGGCATAAAAAGACCATCTATTAACCCATCACTCTATTCAAGAGTGGAGATTCCCTGGTGGCTCAGTGGTAAAGAATCCGCCTGCCAATTCAGGAGATGCAGGTTCGATCCCTGGGTCTGGAAGTTCCCTTGGCGAAGGAAATGGCAACAAGCTCCAGCATTCTTGCCTAGGAAATCCCAGGGACAGGGGAGCTTGGCAGGCTATAGTCCTTGCAGTCACAAGAGAATTGGACGTGACTTAACGACTAAACAACAACAACTGTTTTAGAGTACAACATGATAAATATAATTAACACAGATGTGTATTTTATATGAAAGTTATTAAAAGAGTACATCCTCAGAGTTCTCATCACAAGGGAACTTTTTTCTGTTTCTTTAATTCTCTGTCTATATGAGATGATGGGGGTTCACTACATGTATTGTAGTACTCATCCCATGATGTATATAAGTCAAATCATTACGCTGTATACCTTAAACTTATGCAGTACTGTATGTCAATTATATCTCAGTAAAACCTGAAGAAAAAAATTTAAATACACTTGGAAAATTTTTTATTGTGGTATTTTCTTGTTACTAATTAGTAGTCTTTATATATTCTGCATGCTAATCCTTTGCCAGTTTTGCATTGCAAAACCTCCGTAGTGGCTCAGATGGTGAAGAACCCGCCTACAATGCAAGAGGCTCCTGTTTGATACCTGGGTGGGGAAGATCCCCTGGAGAAGGGAATGACTACCCACTCCAGAATTCTGTGGACAGAGGAGCCTGGCGGCCTGTAGTCCATGGGGTTGCAAAGAGTGGGACATGACGGAATGACTAACAGTTTCATTTTCCCATGGATGCATATATTTAGAGAAACAAATGAGTATATGCTAAAAATGGGAAATTTTATTACATGTAAATTAAGCCTCAAAGGAACTGATTTTTTTTTGACAGACCAACAAAGTTTCGTATGTTTTATTGTTGGCTGGGCTTATCCCAATTCAACATTTGTCTTTGCTGAAAGGCAATTGATTTTTGAAACTATTGGATCTTCCCAAGGCTAACGTCTTGACAGAGCAACTTTCACTTTCACTTTACATTGCAAATCTGTGACTTGTACTTTTTATTTCTTGATAGTGTAGTCTATTGACCAGAAGTTCTTAAACTTAGTGCAGTCAAATTTCCAAGTGCTTTTGCTTGGTACTTTTGGGGGTTCATTTAAAAAATCCTTCCCTGTCCCCAGGTGACACAGTGTTAATACAAAAATGTCAAAAACAGCATGAATAAGGAAAATATATTTCTACAGGTGGAGAAAAAGCATTTGATAAAAACTTTATTCAAGAAAAAAAAGAAAAAAAAACTTTATTCAATAGATATATTTTTCTGTAATGGGTTAAACATCTAACTCAAATAGTGGGAAAATAAATAAGCCATGAATGAAAACCACAGAAACAAGACCAAAAGAAATGATTTTAAAAATATGGGCATGGAGAAGGAAATGGCAACCCACTCCGGTATTCTTGCCTAGAGAATCCCATGGACAGAGGAGCCTGGCAGGCTACAGTCCATGGGGTTGCAAAAGAGTCAGACACCACTGAGCAACTAAACCACAATAACTTAGCTGTATACACCAATACTGGTGGACCTAGAAAACATCATAATGGAAAAAAAAAGAAAGCATGAAAACTGCAGACATGCATATGGTTTAGTGTTATATGTGTAGTTGGTGAAACAAATGGAAAAAGGAAAATCATGTAAACCTCATGTGAGCAGTTTAGGATAGGGCTGCCTCCATCGAAAGAAAATTCAGAGATCTTTGCTTGATATGTATATTCTGTTGAGGGAGAAACAAATTGTTCCTAACCAGAGATTTCAAAACCAAAAGGGGTTAAGAGGCTTGGTTCTCAGCAGTTACACTCAGTTTATAAACATGAATGAGGGAGTACATTGTTTTGTGTTTGGTTACTGGAAACTTATGTTCTGTTTACTTGTCTGTAGCTGATTGCCTAGAAAGCTGGAAGGTCACATTGACATGAAGATAGTCTAAGTTTTGGGTAAGGTCAGAGTCAGCATTTAAGGGAAACGGAGATAGTTTGTTTCAGTTACATAGCCTTCAGTATTTAGTAGAAAGGTCTATTCAAGCTACGGCCTTTATTTTTGATTCTGCTTAACATCCCCCCCCCCAAAAAAAGAATCTAGCCATAATCAAATCTTTTGCCTTCATGGTAGATTACTAGTATTACTTTAATGATTTTTAGTTAGCAATGTATAAAATTATGCACACTTTACTTGTATTTAGGCACTTCTTTCTATATATTAGAATTTACATTAATAAAAATCATTCAATTGATCCATCTATTGCCTGTATCTGTTGTCTGTATATATGCTAAGTTCTTTGACTTTTGTGACTGCTCTCCTATAGGGTGGTCTTCAGCTCAAGATTATTGTCCCTGGCTGACCCAAAGCAAGTCATGAGTTGCAAGTCATAAGATGCTAATATCCTGTTAACATCGGGTACCTGTCCAGTAGGAGGGGTACGTTGACTCCCATCTGTAAAATCAGAGGTGTGACCTTGGGTTTCACCTTTCCCCTATTCAGGTTCGCCAGCTCTTACTTGGATTCCATGAACCATCTTAGCACCCTTCTAATAAATTCCATTTTATTATATACAAATTTAAAATGCAAAAGCAATCTACCTAACTGTCCCCTGACAAAATCATGAAGTATTTGTATGCACGTAATTGTTGAGACTTAAATAGTTTTTTGATTTCTATGTCCAGCTGCATTAACTTCAGATCTTCCTCTTTTAGTATAAGTAACTATTTAGAAGGGACGTCCCTGGTGACTCAGGCAGTAAATCTGCCTGCAATGCAGGAGAATCAGGTTCAGTCCTTAGGTTGGGAAGATCCCCCTGGAGAAGGGAATGGCAACCCACTCCAGTATTCTTGCCTGTAGAATCCCATGGATAGAGGATCCTGGCAGGCTACAGTCCATGGGGGTGGCAAAAAGTTGGACCCAACTGAACAACTAACACTTTCACTTCAACCATTTAAAAAACTCTATTAATNAGTTCAAAAGCATCAATTCTTCGGCACTCAGCTTTCTTCACAGTCCAACTCTCACATCCATACATGACCACTGGAAAAACCATAGCCTTAACTAGATGAACCTTTGTTGGCAAACTAACGTCTCTGCTTTTTAATATGCTATCTATGTAGGTTTATAACTCTCCTTCCAAGGAGTAAGTGGAATCATATAAATATGTGGTTGTTTGTGACTCACTTTTTTCACTTAGCATAAAGTTTTCAAGGTTCGTTCAGGTAGAGGTGTGTATTGGTACCTCATTCCTTTTTATGCTGAATGACATTTGATTTTATGGACATATCACATTTTGTTTATTCATTCATCATTTGATGGACATTTAGGTTGCTTCCCTTTCTCGGGCTATTATGAATAACACTGCTATAACAAGTCTACAAGATTTTCTGTGAACATTTGTGTTCATGTCTCTTGGATCTATGCCTGTTGTTCTGAGTTGCGAAGTTGTGTTCAACTTTTGTGTGACCCCCTGGACCACAGCCCGCCAAGCTCCTCTGTCCATGGGCTTTCCCAGGCAAGAATACTGGAGTGGGTTGCCATGCCCTTCTCCGAGGGACCTTCTCAGCCTAGGGATTGAAACTCTGTCTCCTGTATTGGCAGGTGGACTCTTTACCAGTGGGCCACCCAGGTTCTCAGGATCTGTAGCTAGGAGGGGAATTGCCGGATCATATGGCCCCTCTATGTTTAACTGTCTGAGGAACTGCCAAATTGTTTTATACAATGGCTGCATCACTTTACAGTTTACATTCCAACCATCAGTGTATGAGTGTTTCAGTTTTTCCATAACCTTGCCGACCCTTGTTACTAACTGACCTTTTCCTTTAGCCATCCTAATGGTGTGGAGTGCTGTCCCCATTGTGGTTTTGATTTGCATTTATCTGATGACTAATGATGTTACCTGACGGCTCAGTGGTAAAGAATCCCCCTGCAATGCAGGAGACACAGGTTCAACCCCTGGAGAAGATCCCCTGGGGAAGAAATTGGCAACCCACTTCAGTATTCTTGCCTGGGAAATCCCATGGGCAGAGGAAACTGGCGGGCTATAGCCCATGGAGTCACAAAAGAGTGGGACATGTTTTTATCTTCTGGTCCCACGCACTTCGGCATCTGCGGGCCCTGGTGCAGACATGGCCAAGTCCAAGAACCACACCATGCACAACCGGTCCCGAAAATGGCATAGAAACGACATCAAGAAACCCCGATCACAACGATATGAATCTCTTAAGGGGGTAGGCCCCAAGTTCCTGAGGAACATGAGCTTTGCCAAGAAGCACAACAAGAAGGGCCTGAAGAAGATGCAGGCCAACAATGCCAAGGCCATGAGTGCACGTGCTGAGGCTGTCACGGCCCTCGTGAAGCCCAAAGAGGTTAAGCCCAAGATGCCAACAGGCGGCAGCCGCAAGCTCAGTCGACTTGCCTACATTGCTCACCCCAAGCTCGGGAAACGTGCTCGTGCTCGCATCGCCAAGGGTCTCAGGTTCTGCCGGCCAAAGTCCCAGGCCAAGGCTCCAACCAAGGCCAAGCCACCTGCAGCTGCGGCTCCAGCTGCCAAGGGTGCCCAGGCCCCCACCAAAGCTACGGAGTAGAGACCTTCATCTGCCGGTGTGAGGACAGAAGGACTGGTGTGACCCCCTGGGCTGCTGTCTGCGTGGGGCTGGTGTCCTCCTGTGCTATTTGTACAGATAAATCTGGGACAGAAAAAAAAAAAGAGTGGGACATGACTTAGCAGCTAAACACCAACACCAATGTGTTAATATTTTCATGTGCTTTTGGACATAAGTGTAACTACTTTGGGAAATGTCTTTCAGATCCTTTTCCCATTAAAAAAAAAAATTGGGCGCATCGAAACATGTATATTATCTAGGGTGAAACAGATCACCAGCCCAGGTTGGGTACATGAGACAAGTGCTCGGACCTGGTGCACTGGGAAGACCCAGAGGGATCGGGTGGAGAGGGAGATGGGAGGGGGGATCGGGATGGGGAATACATGTGTATCCATGGCTGATTCTTGTCAATGTATGACAAAAACAACTACAATATTGTAAAATAATTAGCCTCCAACTAATAAATAAATAAATAAATAAATAAAATTGGGCTATTACGGATAAACAATGAAGTCCTACTGTATAGCATAGGGAACTACATTCAGTCTTCTGGGATAAATCATAATGGAAAATCATATTTTAAAAAGGAATGTATATGTGTATATAACTGAGTCACTTTGCTGTTGTATGTAAATTAGCACAACATTGTAAATCAGCTATACTACAGTAAAAAAATTTTTTTTAATTGGGCCATTTGTCTTTTTGTTATTAACTGTAAGAATTTTTTATGTATTCTTCTTGTTCTTATTTTTACTTGTTGCGTTGGGGCTTACCATATACATTTAAATTGATCAGCGGCAGGTTCAGATTTGTACTAGATTAATTTCAGTGAGATAGAGAATTGTCACTCCTATATAGCTCAATTTCCTCTTTTTCTGTGAAATTACTTTTATACATATTAATGCTACAAACCCAACAGTACATTGTTATTAATATTTTGCAGTCTGTGGTCATTTCCTCAGTCCAATATAGCTTTTTTCCCACTTGCCTCCTTTGGTTTTTATAGGCAGATACGGGTTTCCCATGTAGCTCAGCTGGTAAAGAATTCGACTGCAATGCAGAAGACCTGGATTTGATCCTTGGGTTGGGAAGATCCTCTGGAGAAGGGAAAGGCTCCCCACTCCAGTATTCTGGCCTAGAGAATTCCATGGAGTAGTCCATGGGGTCGCAAAGAGTAAGACACGACTGAGCAACTTTCACTTCGCTTCACTTCATACTACATTTCTATATGTGATAAGCCAACAATACATTAGATATGCATCACTTTATATAGCTGTTTTTAAGTGAGTTGAGAGAATACAGCAGAAAAACTATGCATTTGTACTACCTTCTATAATTACATAATTGGTGGTGATGGTGGTTGAATCTCTGAGTCGTGTCCATTTCTTTTCCATTCTCTTCTCCTCCAGTATTCCCGATATACTGGCCTGTGTAAAGGTGTCGGTAACACCAATGATTGTGATGACATCTACTAGAGATCTTCTGTATTTGGGTTCAATATTTTAAAATGTTACTTATTTTTGGCTTTGCTAGGCCTTTGTTGCTGTTTGAGCTTTCTCTGGTTTCAGTGAGTAGGGGCTGCTTCCACTGCACAGGCACAGGCTCTTGGGCGCACGGGCTTAGTTGTCCCGTGGAATGTGGAATCTTCCCAGACCAGGGATCAAACCCATGTCCCCCTGCATTGGCAGGCAGATTCTTAACCACTGGCCACCAGGGAAGTCCTTGGTTCAATATCTGAAAACATAATGTGTTTAGGAGATAAGACTTGCCTATTCATCATGTCAATTCACTTCACTTTCTTGGGTTTTAAAATACTTAAAGTATAAAAAGGGTGCAATGGATTTCGGGGGTGATGGAACCATTCTGCGTCTTGGCTGGGCTGGTGATTACACAGCATATGCATTTGTCAAAACCCTAGAGCTGAATCTAAAAGCATGGATTGTACTGTATGCAAATAATGCCTTTGTGTTAAAAATACTTACAGTAGATTTTTTCCTTTTTCCCCCCTTGTATTAGGGATACAGATTTGACAACCTTAAATTTAAAAGCTCTGTGTATAAAAAACAGCTCACATTAAAATTAAAAGAGAAGAAACCGACTTGAAAAAAAATTGTACAGAAATAACGTGACAGAAATAACGTTAATAATCTTATCATATAAAGTGACAGAAAAAGGGAACACAACATTTAGATTCCAGGATGCAAGTGGGCAAAATACGTAAAGAGACAGTCCCCCAAAGAGAGAATATAGGGAGTAAACCAGCCTTACAGGAAGACAGTGTATCACATAAGAAATCAGGAAATTCCGGGGACTTCCCTGGTGGTCCAGTGGTTAAGAAGCCGCCTGCCAATGCAGGGGGCATGGGTTTGATCCCTGCTCCAGGAGGATCCCACGTGCCATGAAGCAACTGATCACGTGTACCACAACTGCTTAACCCTTAAGCCCTAGAGCACGGGGGTCCACAACAAGAGAAGCCCCTGCAAAGAGAAGCCCGCTCACCACAACTAGAGAAAGCCCGTTTGCAGCAACGAAGACCCAGCACAACCAAAAACAAATAAATAATTAATTTAAAACAAACAAATAATTTAAAAAACTCCAATAAGTCAATACCCAGGGAAAATAAAAAAAATAATAATTTTATTTCTTTATTTTTTCCTGTGCTGGGTCTTAGTAGCTGCGAGGGCTTCTCTCTAGTTGGGAGTTAGAGGGATCCTCACTGACCAGGGATCAAACTCTCCGGCATTGGCAGGCGGATTCTTAAGCACTGAGCCACCAGGAAGCAAGCCCTCAGGGAATTTTTTTTACACTAGAAGACCCGGAGCTGGTAGGAGAGGCCTGCTATGTTGTACATCCATCCTTGTAGAAGACAAAGGTGAGGTCTTTTCTTCTTTGTGGGCAATCTGACTTCCCTGATAGCTCAGTTGGTAAAGAATCTGCCTGCAAGGCAGGAGACCCTGGTTCGATTCCTGGGTCGGGAAGATACCCTAGAAAAGGGATAGGCTACCCACTCCAGTATTGTTGGTCTTCCCTTGTGGATCAGCTGGTAAAGAATCCACCCGCAATGCGGGAGACCTGGGTTTGATCCCTGGGTTGGGAAGATCCCCTGGAGGAGGGAAAGGCTACTCACTTCAGTATTCTGGCCTGGAGAATTCCATGGACTCTATAGTCCATGGGGTGGCAAAGAGTCGGTCACGACTGAGCCTCTTTCACTTTCTGGGAATCCAAAGAAATAATCCTAAATATGGAGAAAAAGCTTTATCCCCAAAGAGGTTGTTTGCAGCACTATCTGTAAGAACAAAACACATGGTGGGGAAAAAAAATGTTTGTTCCAGTGTTCCCTGGCAGTCCAGTGGTTAGGACTGCTGAGGGTTCAATCCCTGGTTGAGGAACTAAGATCCTATGAGTTGCAGGGCTGGCCAAGGAAAACAAACCAGTGTGGCGGTGATGGTGGTGTGGGGACAGGGACAGGGAGAAAAACTTGAATTTGTGACCGGAAGGAATTGCGTGAGAATGTCACCATCACTGCATGGGACACTCTGATTTTTTTTTTTTTAAAGTTTGAAGCATCTATAGCAGTGGGGGAAATACTCTTGGAAATCAATTATGTAGAACAAAGCTACCCATTTAAATATATTATACAGGATTTCACCACTGCAGGAAGCAGTCCCGGATTCCAGGCAGAGAGCAACCTGGTGAGAACAATTAGCATCTTACCAGCTGCCCGCAGTGCTCCCCTTTGGGAAAAGAAACTGACTTTGATAAAGCAGAACATCAGAAAGGTATCATATTTGATCTATTCTAAGAATTACACTGCTTCACATCTTGACCCGTCTGAAACCGGGAGGCATCTTCCAACGACCATCACCGCAGGATCGCTCCTGGCGAGGCACGAACTCCTGCAGAAGGGCTGTCTGAAGCCTGGAAGAAAGTCCTGCAGGGCAACTCTGAGCCCCCGGGACCCAGCTGGGTGTGCGTGGGGGGATCAGTCATGAACAAGTCGTGTTTGGAAATGCCCTGGAAATAGAAATCAGTAATAGGCCAGCGTATGTAATTGCCAAGCAGCCTCAAGAGCCGGGTAGCAACGGGTTTTTAGTTTTCCCAGGTCATCTTTAAAGAAACACTGCCTCACCAAATCGAGACCGGGGTTGAGGTTGGCAAACTGTGGCCCACTGCCTGTTTTTATACAGTCCATGTGCTAAGCATGGTTTTTACAGTTTCAAATGATTGCCCAGGGACTTCCCTGGTGGTCCAGGGGTTAAGCATCTGCCTTCTAGGGTTTCCCGGCAGCTAAGTGGTAAATAACTTACCTGCAAAATGCAGGAGACACGGGTTCAATCCCTGATCGGGGAACATCCCACATGTCTCGGAGCAACTAACCCCGGGCACAACTACTGAGCCTGTGCTCTAGAGCCCAGGAGCCATAAGTGCTGAGCCCACGTGCGGCAACTCCTGAAACCCGGGTGCCCTCGGGCCGGTGCTCCACAACGAGAGACGCCACTGCAATGAGAAGACCGCATGCTGCAACTGGAGAAAAGTCCCTGCAGCAGTGAAGACCCAGCACAGCCAAACATAAACAAATAAATAAGTGTATTGAGGAATCTGCCTTCCAGTGCAGGGAGCAGGGATTCTGTCCCTGGTCTGGGATCTACGACCCCACACGCTGAGCGGCAACTCAGCCCACGAGCTGCAACTTCTGAGACCACGTGCTCTGGAGTCCACGAGCTGCAACTAGAGAGAAGCAAGCCTGTGTGCGCTGCAGCAAAGAACCCGCGCACCGCAACCAAGACCTGAGCAGCCAAAAAAATAAAATTAAAAAGTCATTGCACAAAATCAAAGGAATAATGTTCATGGCGCATGAAAATCATGCCAAAATGACAATTCAGTGTCCACTAATAAAGTTTTATGGGTACACGGCCATGTCCAGCCATTCACCCGTTATCGGTGGAACCTCTTCTCATAATGCAGGGTTGGTTGAGTACTTTTGATGCAATTCAAGTGGCCCACAAAGTCAAAAATATTTACACTCTGGCACTTAACAGAAAGAATTTCGCCCACCCCTGATCTAGGTGGCACAGAGGATGGTGTGGTATATAATATATGGACA